TCAGCAGGGAGATCAAGAATTCATTCACAGGCTGCTCCTGCAGCAGTGGTGGAAACTTGGGTGTATTGGCAAGGTAGTTACAGGGGTATATTGTTACTTCATGACTGCTTGTAAAACTGACCATGTTCTGCAGATGAGGTATATTACTGTAGTTTAAGATGTACCTATGACTTGGAATACTTTGGAATTAATAAAAATAACTTCAAGTAATAAAAGGAATAAAAATATTTTAGATAAATAAAACCCCAAAATCCTTTCTTCAGAGATTTTAAAAAAATGCTCTCTTTGACCAATACCCTGTTTCCACTTCCTCTGTGTTAATTCCTGTTTCTCTCTGCTACACAGAGGTTTTTTGGGGGGTTTATCTTTTACAAGATGAGTGGGCAAAGAAGATATCCATGTTACTTACTAAGGACCTTGCTTGCAGCTGCAACCAGATCATAGGTTTTAGAATCATCGTAAATTATTCTGACAAGAAACTGTCCTTCTTCATCCAGCTGTGCCTCCTTCCTAAAAAGAAAACAGAACAAAATATTTTTGGTTGAGGGAAAAGCACCATATAGATAAATCAATTACACATTGTTAGTGTTAGTCTTTTACATGAAATAAGTTTGTAGGTTCTACCTTTAAGAAGTCACTTAAGATAGAAAATGAGAAATAAATCTGTTCCATATCTCAGAGTCATTAAGGTACAATACAAATATTTCAGGCGTACTCTTCGCTGGGTAAAAAACTGTCTGGGTGGCCGAGCCCAGAGAGTTGTGGTGAATGGAGTTATGTCCAGGTGGCGGCTGGTCACGAGTGGTGTTTCCCAGGGCTCTGTTTTGGGGCCAGCCTTGTTTAATATCTTTACCAATGATCTGGATGAGGGGATTGAGTGCACCCTCAGTAAGTTTGCAGATGACACCAAGTTGGGTGGGAGTGTCGATCTGCTGGAGGGTAGGATGGCCCTGCAGAGGGACCTGGACAGACTTGATTGATAGGCCGAGGCCAACTGTATGAGGTTCAACAAGGCCAAGTGCTGGGTCCTGCACTTCGGTCACAACAACCCCATGCAACACTACAGGCTTGGGGAG